AAGAAACGAATTTTCAGTCTTAGATGATGTTACATGATGAATGACAGAAATATTATTAACACTATTAATGGCCTAGTCTGTGCAGGAAGAAATGTCAGTTTTAGAAACCACACTGGACTGGGATATAACTAGCTCACCTCAAGCACAAGGAAAAGAAATTGGTGTCTGAATAACAGCTTTCAGAATAAGAGAATGTTGTGATTCACATGAATAGGACCTTGCTGGCTTGTCCCTATTTGATGTTTCCATTCTGATAGCAGAATAAATGCCAGTTGCTGTTCCTAGTACCCAGTGTACCCATACTTTTTTATTCATGTTTAAAATACAGTAGGGTATGGGCATTTGTGAGGGTTAGGCGCAGAGAGCCATCTAGAATTGACAAATTTAGATATAATCAAGTCCACTCCTTTACTGTCACATTATGTACTACTTACAGTATATAGTATATATGATTAAAAGACCATTTTGTTGAATCTGATACCCTGATGTCTTTTAAGAAACGTCTGGAAAAGAATCTTCAATCCTCTATGCAGAGATGTAGGAAATTGGAACAAACTATCCAGCCATGTTGTTTAAGCCATCAGAAATGGTTTCTATCAAGAAACACAAAGGGGCTAGATTGGCTGAATGGCCACCTCTTAGCTGTAACCTTTCTTATGTTCTTATGCTGTAAATTCGAATACATCGTTAATGACAAACCCACAAGTTCTGTTAATAGTAAGTTGACAATAAACACAACAATTGCAATTAATAAAATAACAACGAGGGAGTGCAATGATGCAAGTTCTAAAATTTTGTTTGCATTTTTATTGATTCCTCATACAGTAATCTACAAAATGCAAGTGATGTGTCAATATTAATACTTTAGTCTTTTGTCACAAGTAGCCTCTTCTTCTTCAATGTTACCCATTTTGTATCTATAGTTTGTTATTGCTACTTGCACATAGTATTCAAACACTGTATAACAAATCTTTTCTATTATTAAGTCTTTGTAAACAATTTAATACTTTTGAATTTGAAAGCAACCGGGCTGTCTAAGCCTCTGATAATTTCTTAAGACTGAATAATAACCCTCGACCTTAATGTGTGACTTTATGAATTATATAAAACCCCTTGGAACAGGTTATTTGTTCACTGCCCAAAGATGTGTGATTAATTTTTAAGTTTTATATTTGTACCGATGCTTATTCTGTAAAGTGAAAGTCTTCAAAATGTAATTTTTCACTTACAAAACACAATGTTTTGAAGCATATGCAGTACACAAAAGTAATATTAAGATGTTAATTATATATTCCACCAGCATAACAACAGTATGTAAACAAATGCTATGCTCTCATTTTGAACTGCAGTTCATGAGATAATGATTTAGGAATACATCCAATTTTGTATCTAGATTGAATTTAGCATCTCCTATTCCCTTCAGCATATTTAGGAAATGCAAAGTTCTTAAGTGTTCTATTCAAATGCCTTCAGAATAATGGTTTGCCTTGGGAAATGTTTTCTTTTTTCCATGCATGTTCTTGATAGCTCCTTTATGAACAGCAGTCGAGACTGTTTATCAGCATTCAGAACATAACAGTTTCAGGATTCTCCGCCCCCAACGTGCCTTCTCTGCAAGCACTGTTAAAAAGGAGACTCCTATAGCTTTGAACACATGTTTGAGGAGCGGTGTGGCTTGGTTCCCTTTGAGAACAAGTCTAAGGGAATCACAGCTGTCTCCGACTAGACGGAGACAAGAACTCCTGGAAGCTGGAGGTGGATGTGCTTTGAAGAGATCTAAGCTTCAGTTGTGTTTCTGATGTCTACCACTGGCTTGTGGAACTGGTGTGTTTTATACTCCTAAGCACTGCTTCTCTCAAGTCTTTAATGCTCCTTACAATGGAGGATCCTAGCACCTGCTCCCAGATTAAATAAAACATTTGACCCACCTGTCAGATGCAAATTACAGACCCACTGCATGGTAGTGGGCTTTCCCTCAGCAGAAGGAAAATGTTTCCGGGGAACAGTTGTCATCAAGCAGTGGGCTTGTAATTCGCGATGGGTTGTAGGATGGAAATCCTGACCTAATTCCAATTTTCCATTGAAATCTGGATACGTCTGCTACTGTTAAGAATACGTCTGGATACGTCTGCAACTTCTGTTGGTAAGAAGTACCAGTTGATTGTTTGTTAAATTAGTGGGTTCCTGAGATACAGTCTCAGTTAGATACAGGTACCTGCCTGGGAAAAAATTGGGAGTTTGCGTAATTTTTAATCACGTTGGCATCTCAATGTCTGTCCAGGTTACTTTGAAGTGATAGACACAGTATCGAAAGCAGTAAATTTGAAGTTACTATGTAGTAATAACAAACAGGACAGGTCAGTATTTATTGCAGTTAGAATTAATAACAGCAGAATGAATGGACATCCCACGTTTTACATGCTAGGACAGGAATCCCTTAAATCCTTAACAGAAACCTCTAGAATCTAATCCCGTTTCCTTTTCGTGACTAATTGAATTACATTGACCTATATTCTTCTTCTTTTTTCTTGAAAGCCTTCACAGTTTGCAGTGAGGTCTGTTTGGCAGATAGGAGTAGTTTAAAACTGCCATGAGCACACTTCACTGTAAGCTAAAAGTAATTAGTAAAAAGTTCTGTGGAGAAAAAAAAATCTTTAATTCGCTTGATTTCTAAATAGCTAGAATCGGGATAGAGCAATATGAATATAATGCTATTGTTACAGTTCTGAAGCAAATTTTGGTGCTAATAATTAACCCAGGGTAAACTAATTCTTTGTTAAGTCAGCAGAGAATTTTGTCTGCTGTTTTATAACCTTAATATTTAACCATGAGGTCATTAAGCCGGCCTTCACTGGTGTACTTCACTGGGCCTCAACTCAGGATAAATAGGACACAGAGTAACCAGAAAATAAATGGAAGGGTCATCTCAAAGGAGGCAGCAGGCAAGAGGAGATTTGATTGGATTGTGAGAGAGACACCTATGTTTTCAAAGCCCAACACAACTACACAAAAACTGACAAACATCATCAATAAAAGAACACAGTACACTAGTATTTCAGATAAGAGAGTTATTATACATTGCTTGGAAGTGAGATTGGATCAGGGATGAAAGATTTCTTGAGTCTATTACTGTTACACATGGGTACACAGAGTCATCTCCCAGATGGGTGTAGTGTAAATTCACATCGAGAGGAATGAGACACACACTCCACAATGCTCCTGGCCTTCTTTACAACCCCCTGCTTGTAAAGGGCATACTGTATACTGTAGGTTTATTTGATCCTACTGTAAACAAACAAATTTGATTTGCCGCAGTGATTTTGCTGCTTATCTTCACTAATTTTCCCAGCGTCTTAAAATGAACAGTACTGATGTTGCCGTGTCCTTAATGAGATGTCTGTCTGTGTGTTTGCTTAGTACCCCTGCACTGAATGAGAACCAGACTTTTAAGATAGGGGACTTTCTCTCCTACAGTGTTGAAAGTACTGATTTCCCAGTTGTGGAATCCACAGACTAAAGGACAGCTCTTCTTACTGTAGTTAGTGGTGCGCTGTTTGTTTAGCAGTGAAATAGGGTCCCATTCATTTAAAATGCATTTAAGACAAAGATTTCGTCTAGAGCAGGATCCTTTGTTTGATAAGACACAGGCTACTTGTTTCCCCCTTTTCCCCATTTTGTCTGTACAGTAAGTCAGGAGAATTCAGTGTTGTCTAGGTCTGTAGAAAGCAGGGCTCTGGGATCTCACAGATCTGTTATTGTAGTATCTCTATATAGCCAGAAACATTTTGTTGTGTATTTGCACAATTATTGTGAATAAATATTTGTCCTTTTTACTGCCTGGTCATTAATCTATTGTCAAGAGTATTTTATTTGTCCCAGAGAACAAGGAAATCGTGTGCTATGATACAATATTTCCTGACTGTAGAGGGTGTATTTTTTATTAATATTCCTTCCTGCAGTCTTCAGCATTCCTTACCCTAAATGACCAATAGCTCTTTGACATCACAGATATTTCAGACAGATAAGTTTACATTGATTTGCATTACCAGACGTAGATCATCTGTCAAAACGCATGCGAGCAGCTGTTAATTCTCCTGAGTTAGAGTTGTTGCACATGGGACTTTGAGCTGTAAGCAGATTTTGCTCAACATTCGCATTATGGTAAATACATATGTTTATTGATCAGGCAATTACAAAAATAGTCTACAGATCAACAGGCTTCAGTTTTGAGGCTACTCAGATTTATGCTACTGTATCTTGATAAGGAAGGGATCAATAAGACACATCTACTGTATGTGCACAGCAGCACTTAGTGAATCTTTTTGTCTCCTCCCTTCCTTCTGTTTACACACACTAACTGTGTCATTGTTCATTCCTCTGTAGAGATTTTTTATCACTCTTAATCTCAAGTGAGACAGAGTGAGTGGAAATGATTTATTTTGCAGTTTCCAGGTGCACACCTTGGTTCTGCAGTTGCAAATGAAGTGTTCTTCCTGGCTGATGCTGCCATTGTGGAATGTGGTGTTATTAAGGTCTAAATGAGCAGAAACTAATTCTGTCCCTTTGCACAGAAAACTTGCAGCCAGCGATTATCTGCTTGATCTTGGAGTGTGAGTGTAGTGGCATGAAATGTGCTTCATTCGTGCCAAAAGCCTGCTGATCTACAATGAGAACTATAAGCAGCATGATATCTGAGACTTTTAAAAATGTTTACAAACCTGATCTATGCCAGTTGGCTTCTTGTATTGGATGACATCCGTTGGTATCTCCTTTAGAAGCCTTCAGAAATATACAGTTTTAGAAGCTGTGGAATTTATAGTGAAGGCAATTGAAAGCACAATGCAAATGGTAAAGGACAGCGGCAAAACTCGCCTTAATGCTGGAATGATTGTGTCCGTGCAATGGTAAGTGTACACTAATGACACTTGCTGAAGGCCATTTCTCAATTAAAATGAATAAACAATTACTAACTGTCCCCTTTTTCTGCTGTTTTCTTACAGATTTCCCAGAACCTGGGAAAGATGTACAGCGAGATGATTTTTGTAAATGGGTTTATACATTGTGACCCCCACCCAGGCAATGTGCTGGTCAGGAAGTGCCCGAAAACCAGTGAGACTGAAATTATATTACTCGATCATGGGCTGTATCAGGTGAGACACCGTGCCCTTTAGTGCTAGGCTTCCAGGAAGAGAATTTGTCACTTATTACACACTCAGTTATTCGTTGTCACAAGAAAGCAGCACACGGTTCAGTTTGGGAAACATATATTACTAACCTTTTCATAGTTGAAAAGTGCAGTATAGTTAGAAATTAGGAATATTTTAACTGTGCTTTTTTAGAAATGTTTAAATAAAGATTGTGTGGCATAAAATTGATCACTTGGGAGCATGTTGGTTTGTTGGGGTGACATAGAAAGTCAGAAGATTTAAACACCAGTATTACATGGGAAACACTTTCACACAGGAATAAATAGATCACTTGAAAAAGATTGTCCGAAATATCTGCTTCAAGCTCAATGGAGAAATGCAATGAGATTGGGAAATATAATAAATTAAAGCAACACTTTAGATTTTTTGGGGAATATTTCCATTGTTTTATTTTTATTTAGAATTCAAGGGATTAACACACAATCAGACACAGTTGAAAAAGTAGCAACATATAGACAACAACATTTAGAAAAATTGACACGTGTCAAGTGATACTTGTTTGAGAATAATGTTTATAAAAGATTTCTGTGGTTATTAAAAAAAAAACAATACTCGTTCTCCCTTATTTCCATTGTTAATTATTAATTTGTTTGTCTGACACTTTTAATCAAAGTGACCTACATGGGTAGCCGTTAATCCTGCTGTGCATTTGACTGGAGCAATCTGAATGATGTTCCAGCTCAAAAATGTGGCAGCAGTGCCTCACCTGGGATTTGAACTACAACCTTCTAGTTACACGTTCAGAGCCCCGACTGACTGCTAATCTACAATGTTGCCATTGTATGAATTATGGAAATAATTTGCCATTAAAGATTCTCTCTTTTTATAGTGATGGTTTGCTCTGTGTTTTAATTCCTCTGTAGCATTTCCTTCCACTATACTGTAAATGTGGTTCCATTTTAATGTCGTATAAAGTGGAACACATCTTGATCCTGGCACATACAGTATAAGTCTTTTTCCTGTTAGAGATGGCTGTTCTTTTATTTAATTTTATCAACTGATATAAAAGGATCCTAAATTTTTACTTACTACTCTTTAAGTTAATTCCAGCTAATTTATTTCAGAGATCCATGAAGTCCTGGTAAATGAATGTAAATGGTACCATGCTGTTCAAATGTATTATATCTTTCCAGGAACATTTAGAGCAACTTGTGGTGTTTCAACCTCATGAAATAAATTTTTGTGATGGTGGGCCCGATCACGTTTTAAAATGCTTAGATACTGAGATGACTTATGGGAGTTTTGTGCCTTTCTATTTATAAATTTAAATTTAAGGCTGAAATAAAGACTCTGACCTTTAATGTGTGATTCCAGTCTGCTCGGATGTGTGAAGTTCAGAGCGTTTTTCTTCCCAGATCCCTGTAGCATGATGAAGCTGCTTGGATTCGTGCGGGGATGCAGGCTTTCTCTGTCAGTGCCCTGACTTGGTCCCCTCTCTTCCTCTCCCCGCCAAGGTGCTGGACCAGCAGTTCCGCCTGGACTACTGCCGCCTTTGGCAGGCGCTGATGAAGGCAGACATGAGAGGCACAGAAAAGTACAGCCGCCGCCTGGGAGCCGGCGACCTGTATCCCCTCTTTGCCTGTGTCCTGACTGCCCGGTCCTGGGATTCGGTCAACACTGGAATCAGTCACACTCCTGTCACGCATGCAGAGGTATTCTGTTCTTTTTTTTTCTATTGGATTTTTCCCTTCTTTTCCAAGAAAAGCCCACTCTTCTACAGGCCAGTGCAGGGAGGGCCGTTGCCACAAGAACCAGATCAGAGGAGCTGTCCACTGACATGGGGAGCTTGAGCCCATTCCACTGCCACAGTCTCATTCTACCCTGTGCGATCTGGCCCTCTCGACTAACGTACCCAAGCTTAAGGATTTGTAACTGCTTCCTCGAGTAAAATAATTAAAATCTCAAATTAATTTGACATTCAAAACCTCAATTCAGTTAAAATAAATTAAGTCATCACTAATGCTTGGCACTGCGAAACTACACTTTTGTTTTTTTTTATGATTTCGCAGTGTTGAAGACTAAGCCTAACTGTAAGAGTTATTTTAGCTTTGAAAAAAAAATACAAGACAAACATTTGAATATTGTATGTTGTACAGCCTCATAAACTTCAATTTATATTCATTAATAAAGACAGGCTATAATTGGAAGCTTAACATATCACTACTGTATATGTGTCAGCCAAAAATAAAGGAGTTCAAGGTTGTGATTAGAAATTACGGATGACTGGGCTTGGACAAGTCTGAAGTTGTGTGTGGGAGGCTGACCATCTGTGTCAATGGGTAGTACACTTGTTTCCAGTTTGATTACGCAACCTTCAGGGTAACTCATTGTGATTGAAGATGAGATTTCATTACATCATCACAGCAGGGTCCTAAAATTGTCCCCAAAAAAGCCACTTGCACTGAAGTAAGCAAAGATATACAAATATACAAAACAAAAGCAAGAATTTATTTGCACTTCTGCGTTTAAGCACTTTATAAATTACAGCATTTACTTTCACCAGTACTTTTAGGAAATAGATTAACAAAATTCCATGAAGTCCTATGATAATACCTATAAAGAACAGAATGAGGAGAAATATTTTTTTTCTAAAACAAGAAGCTGCTAGTTATCCTTAGTTATCCTTACACTCTTCCCACTGCATAGATTTTATGCTTTTATGTCTTTTTGCAAAGAGCAGGGTTTACAAGAGGGTTACAAAGGAGATGAGGGCATTTAGCCCAACTAACTTGTTTGGTTGCTAGTAGTTGATCTGAGGTTCTCTGCCAGGTCTTTCTTGAGCAAAACCACAGCACTGGTTTGATTTCAGCTGCATTGCAGGGTAGGTAATTGCTCCTTCAACACTTTCTGTACGGAAGAGCCTCCTGCTCTCAGTCTGAAATGCCCTTCCACTTGTGTCCTCTGGGTTGAGGAGGTTTGAGGAGGCCTGGGTGCTGATGCTGCCCAGTGCGCTTGAGGATGTTGGAAACTTGTGCCAGGTTCTCGTGCGAGGAGGGAGGGACGGCTCTCACTGACGCAGCACAGCCGATTGGCCCACACAGCTGGGGCGGAGCTCTGCCAGTCATGGCTTCTTCATGGGTCCTGACCTCTGTGTGCGGGGATCCTACCAGGTGCGAGAGGCTTTACTTTCTTAAGCATTAGAAAGAAATGTAAAGTACCACAACTACAGTGCCTTGCGAAAGTATTCGGCCCCCTTGAACTTTTCAACCTTTTGCCACATTTCAGGCTTCAAACATAAAGATATAAATTTTTTATTTTATGT